ATATAATATAAATCAAATAATATATAGGAGCGAGGAAGTCAGTTATTTTAAGAGTAAATTATCTCTTATTAGTTACTTAGTAATAGTAAATCAGTTTAATCAAAAATTATAGCTATATTCTAAAAAGATTCATATAAATTAAGATCAAATTAATAAGTTAAAAGTACTACTATTTAATTCAGATTTATATAATCAAAAGTGTTTTGATATCATTATGTAAGTGAATATTTTTTCTTTAAATATTAATAATTTTTATATCTGAATCACTTGTATTTTTATTCGAATCTTGATGATTATGTCTCCTTGATATGAGAGCTGAGGATTTTTATGACCTTCAAGTTGGGCTTTGGAAGCTTTCAACAGATATTATTTAAGTTTTGTAATAAAAAAAATTTCGATCTCTTTTTTCTTCAATTAGATATTTGCAAATAATTATTTAACGTTAATGTTAAACATGATTCTTATGAAATCTTATTCAAACTTAAATATATATATAAATTAACATACTCGTTTTTGAGTAAACTTCTGATATGCTCTTGATAAATTGCATAACAAAGTTTAATACAAAGAAGAGCAATAATTGTCTAAAGTGATATTGATGAAAATTAATAATTTTCTTGTTCAGCTACATATTTAGCATCAGCTAGAAAAATTGTAATAGAGCAAATTTATGCTGAAGATAAAATCTTTGCTATTTAAACTGGTGAGAATATAGGGTTTCTAGTTAAGAGCTAATAATTAATAGAAAAGCAAACATAACCCCAACAATGATGCTTTCAGTAGAAGATAAGTCTCAAAATATGTTAAGATTAAAATAATGATTTCTTCCGAAAATAATTTCTGTTATTGTATTCATTAATTAAATAACAAAAATTTTTTCTAATTTAAATGTTATCATGCTAGTCTTTCTTAATGTACATCGCAATATAATGAGAAAGAGGAATGATTATACTAAAAATGCATATTCCTGGAATTACAAAGGCAAAAATCGAAATTAAATGCTCGCTAGTTCCAAAAAGAAGTGAAACATTGCCTTGTATATAACTCTAAGTCGAAACAGTTCTTTTTGAGATAATGGAAAAATACCTAAAATAATCTAAGTTGAATTACATTTTAACTAATCCACCACAATTAGAAACATATAGGTAGATTAGTGTATTAGAAATAGTTTCGAAGTTAAAATTGCTCAATCCAATCTTCTTATACAAATTATAAATGAGATATCCTGTTATTATTAGTATAAATTAGGATATCATGAGTACAAGCATTGTAATAATTTTAGAGTAAATCAACTTTATTTATTTATTCTCTGATAAATAACGATCAAGATTATTTATCATAGAGTAGGATATTGAACACTTTGTTGCATCTTATACTACAGAGTAAAACCCTTAACTTGATTTAGCAACCAGAACTTACATAAAATTCTCCAAGTTAGCATTTCAAACTTTTAGCCTAGATAATGTAATTCAAAATTTTTTAATGTTACAATGATTTACAACTAATCTAAATTTATAGTTATTTGTTTTCATAATTATAAGGATCAAAAATAAAGGAAAAGTAACCTAAATTAGAGTATTACTGAGGTAAAATTAAATAAATTTTAATAATTATTTCCTATTTTCACTTTATACAAAAATCTGTAAGGAATCCAATAATTCTTACTAAAATTTATATAATCATTTATTTAAAATATTCTTTTCAAATAATCCCAATCGATTAACAATATTTTTATATTATAGTTTTATTTATAGTTTTGTTTGTTAGAGTGCATGTAGTACTGAGAAAGTTGGGAAATTATTCATTTAAACTATTCTTTAAAATAAGAACAAAATTTTTAATATAAGATATATATATTGAACTCTCGAGGGCAAAATAAGTTTGGTATAACTTAGTTACTTGGGATCATTAAATAATTTTTAATAAAAGGTTTTCCTTATTCAATAAGACTATAAGGCTAGAGAGCTAAATGATGAATGAGTGTCTAATTAATGAATACTTTTTAGATTGCATTTGTAAGTCGTTGATAAGTCGTTGATAAGCAAATTCAAATGGTGAGGAGATTCAATAAGATTATCTCCAAACTATTTTGCAATATGAAATAATAAGACAGATTTAATAAGGAGTATAGTTCCATCTTGATTAAAATAAACTCCTCCTCCATCTAAGGCCTCGTTACTAGTAATAAGTGTTTATTTAATCTAAAAATTTGTATTCTTTATTTATAAAAACAATCCTCCACCTGAGTTGCTATCATACTTAGAAATTATTTTGCAATTTGTCATTTTTAATTTAAAATTTCAAATTAGCATAGCACCTCCAAGACTACCCTTATTCTATATGAAATAAGAATCTTTGATTATAATAGTTGAATTAATAAAATTTGAGATCAAACGAAGAAGCAACCATTTTCTTTAACATTATTTTAAAATCAAAATATATTATCTATTTTAAAAATTTTGAAATGTTCAGCTTCAAAAGTGATCATTCCATTAGAAAAATCTGATCCATCATTACTCATTATTTCTATCTGTGAAAGCCTTAGGGAGTTTTGGTTAGAAGTGCTTTTAATATATATCAGCTGATTTGATTGATTGGTGAATGATTATATCTAACTTAATATATTTGGATATATGGTTTAATCTGTTATTGAGGTGCTCCTCCACTCACTACATCCTAAAATGTTATAATTCAAATTTGAAAAGATGGGAATTCTATCTGATTTTTCTTTATATGTAATACTTTAAAGTATCTTTGGTTTTTCAATAGAAATCTTTGATTCAGCTTTTATATTCTAAGTTATCAGCACGAGATCAAAGGAATATAATTTTTATATTAATACTAGTTTAAAATCAAAAATCTTTAATGTAAATGCATTATAAAATTAAAAAATTGGAGAGATTATAATTCCTTCACCATTTATATTTTGAATATCAACTTTACAATTTTCAAGAAAAATCATAGCATTCTCCTAGCTTAAATTATTCTCTAATTCTGATCATGTTATTTCACCAATCAAAGAAAATAATTAAAACCACATTTCTTCACTTTAATAAATTGTTAAATTATTAATATTTACTTAACTTTATTTCCTTACTTCTGCTGAAAAAATTTGGCTAACATAATTTTATTCATTAAGGAAAGAAAATTCTTTATTTCTATATTATTTAAAAGAATAAAATTTTCTTTATAATCGTGAATAATGGTGTAGCCATTCTATTAAATATTTTTTTTAATTTAATTTCTTTTAGATTAATAGACAAAAGGCTGTTTGTGAATCTACACTTATACAACTTGAGTCTCCAGTATCTGCTAGATTAGTATATACAGAATCTATCTTGAGGTTAATTATTTTTATTATTCCTTGTCCTTGAGTTGTAATCTAAAAAATAAAACCTTTAGTAGCAATAATTTCTTAAAAATAACTATCTGTACAACTAAAGGGTGAAGCTGAGATTATAGATTGCTTAATTTAAAATGTTAATTGAATAATTGAGTTAATCTCTTGCTGACTATATTCATCCACTAATTCAAAATCATAAAACTGTTACCATAAGTTTTATGATAAAACATTAGTTTCGATGAAACTTAGATTTGAAATTTCTATCATAGTTGCAGGAAGTGTAAAGATTGGATTAGGTTGAATTCGTTAAGGCATTTTGATAGAAATACAGAGGTTGAATTTAAAGAAAACTGTCTAATGAACTTATATGTAATAAATTAGATTAGGTGTCAAGTGGTTCATCGATATATTAATTGACGATATTTTGGATAAATTGAAAGTAGTATTTATTTAGCAATGATAATGAGGTGGCTACTCTGTTCTTCAGTATTATATTTCCTCTAAATTATACATTTAATAATATTATTCATCCTATTTCTCAATTACAAACTGAGCACTAAAACTTACATGCTTAGAAATCGAAAAAAGCAATTCTTAATTAAGAATAAATTTTGAAATATTAAGAATTTGACTTTATCTGCTAGGGTATTTTCTTAAACTTTGATATTTTTAATATTAACAATAAATTTATTAATTTGAAGACTAGAATAAACAACAATCAAATTTGAATCTTAAAAAGTGCTGGAATCATCTTCAAAATCATCAATTGTGCGTACAAGCCTTTAGCAATAATATAGATAAAATCGAATATTAAATAAGAGTGTTTTAACTCGATCTTACCTTCATTAAATCTTGATTATCATTAAACTAATATTCACAGAATTTTAAAGGTAGTTATTGCGGAATTAGAGATCATCTGCAATTATTTCAAACTTTCTTTTGCTTTGGAGAAAGAAGGATTAATCAAAGCTACATTGAGTTATTTCAATATTTGTTAATTTAATTTTGCTTATATGGCTCAAATCTGTTGAGAATGTGAAAAATGCAGAATTCAATAATGTGAAATTTTCAATAAGGATGTCTTCAAGTTTTATAATGTCCTAAATATGGTCAATATTAAATAATGTTGAATTTTCTATTAAACAGTTTTTGAAGGTCAAATTTTTGATATTAAAAGTTATTAAGACGGGTTGTGTTGTAAAAATCAAAAAAAGTTGAATTAACAAAGGCAGAATTTAAAAAGTAAACATCCTAAATTACAATGTTTCCAAATATTTAAGTTTAGAAAAATGACAGTCTAGAAATTTTGTTGTAATAAAATTTAACTTATTTAATATTAAATCTATTTGTTATTAGGATTTTCTAAATTACACCCATCAAATTCTCTAAAGTTAAGTTTTTGAGTTCTACTGCATCATAGTTGATTATTTCTATTATTTAGCTTGTACCCACTTAATAATCTTTAACTGCAAAATAATTTCATATTAGTTTTCTTTAGAGAAAATATTTTCTTCTGTAAGCCATTCGAAAATTTCAGAGCCAATGAATCACTACTTATAATGTACTCATGAAATGAGAAAATATAATTAATCATCATTTAATCTACTCCCACTAGGTTACAATATTAAAAATTTATTTCCTCTTCTTAACTATACTGTTTCTACCTATCTAACAAAAATTCAGTAAGATACTAAGGGAATGAAGACCAATTTTAACAGCTTTTGTTAAAACAGTATTTAGCATTTCTAAAAGAGGTATTGATGACTATATTAGGATCTTTAACAGGTTTTAGACATCTTGTTGTAAATTTTAAATTTAATTCCTCTAATTCAAAATTTGATTGTAAAGACTAGAATATTATCGAGATATTACAGAAATTTCATCCTAATTTCTCACTTCACAATATTAGCATAAATTAGAACAGGCTATACAATTTCCATTAAGTTCAACCAACATAGGTTTCATGTAGTAATTTAATGGGCATCTCATGCAAATGAAACTGTATACTTTACTAAATCATTTTGAATTAAGAAATTCCTCATCAGCGTTTCAAATTATAATAATATCATCCCCAATATCCAACGGAAGAAGAAGTATTATTATTCCCATAATTCGAATTTATTGTATACACTTGATAAATTGAAGAGAAAGAACTATTAGGACTCAGTAGTTAAGTAGAAAATAGTGCCTATAATAGAAACATTGGTGAATTTTAATGTAAAAGAATTTTGAATTTCTATCATTTTGTAAAAGGAGTAATCATCATCCAATTGAAGATTGAATATTTGTATCATTTTTAATAAAACTTCATGATGAATCGCACAATGCCTATAGTGTATAGGAATCTTGCTAATTTAACAAAAGAATCTTTGGTAAAAGTAGTCTCTTAAGTTAAAATCTGATTAACTCTTCTTAAGGTTTCCATCACTATTGAAATAGTGTTGATAATAGATTTTTGAATGTAAGCGAGAAATTTATAATTCTGTGTAGATTGTTATAAAACTGGAGGTGCATTAGGGATTGGTTTCTTAGGCTTTGAAGGTGGCATAGAGTTAAGTGTTCCTTTAGGGTTTCCTGGAATGGCAATTGGAGGAAAAGTTGGAGATTTTGTTGGAAGAGCAGCTGATAACTTATTTATCAGAGCTATTGACGATTAGTGTGAAGAATGGATATTAATTAAATCCAAGTAAGCGTCCTTTAATTAAATGGTAATGTATCAAGGATAATGCGAGAGGTTTAATTTTAATTGGTTAAACAAATACTCATATAGCATGTTTAATAACTAATATTAGTAGGGATAAAATATAAATTTAGCCTCAAGAAGATGTTGGAAATTAAATTTGATTAACATAAATATTTAGGTTATAATGATTCTTCTTCAATAATTACATTTAGCCTTCTAGCAACCGCATATGAATATATTAATGATCATGAATTTCTGTAGCAATTTATTATGAAACAAATTTATGTTATTGACCTAGCTGTGTGTGAAGTTAACTTAAAAGATTTTAGATCATTACTTAGTATATTTTGAATTGAATAAAACAATTTATTATTATCAATAATAATTTTGTATCATTGTGATTATGAACTTAAAATATATTAATTTCAGGGCTGAAAACATAATTATATATAAAATCTATGTATATTCTACAACTAACTAAACTAATTAAAATAATAAGAGTTTTGTAATTCGGAACATTATTGTTTGCTCCAAACAATTAAAATAGTTTGATGCATTTTGGCTACAGCTACACAATACAAGAAAGAAACTTTATGAAAATTTCATTGATGTTTAGATACTCCTGAATGAATACAACTAAAACAAAAATGATTAGCATGAAAAAAAAAGAAAAGCAGAAAAAATATAAATTTAACAAAATTATAAGAATAAATTCAATAATCTCTAATTCAATAAGGAGGATTATTTGCGGGTATCAGAAATAAAAAATAAGGAGATATTGTAGTATTATCGTTACAGTCATATCTACTACCATCTTAATAGGTCACTATGCTGCACTGTTAATGTATTTTGGGAACTAACAATGTTTGACTTATTAAGTATCTTCCAACAATGGTCAACAAAAGACCAAATAAAAATACAGATTGAGCTCAGGCGGTCTATGTTTTCAACAGGCTAATCTCCTGGAGAAGGAGGAAAATATATTGGAGAGCTAAATAAGGAACAAAGGAAGTCTAAAAGAGTAAAATTAAAAAAAGGAAAATTCACATCAATTATTAACTTAAGAGGCTCAAAGGAATTAATAAAATTATATATTCTTTTTATTATTTTTACTCAACTATTAGAAGATAGAAGAAATCTTAATTATGATTATTAACAGAATTAATTCTGTAAACTATCGCTCAAATCATGTTAATTTGATTTTAGAGGATAATTAACCACCTTTTTACTATAGATTAAACCATTTAAATTTACCCGATTGGAACACCTCTTATAACATGATCTATAATTTAACAAAAACTTGAAGTGTATTGCATCTATTTCAGTTTTAAAAAAATTAATTTCTTAATACACAAATTTTAGATGAATCAATTTTGTCTTAAATAATTGATTTTTGCAGCAGATAAAGCTAATGAGAAATTTAGTAGATTTATTTGGATCAAAACTGAATATTATTAGACACAATATTTAAGAGTTTGCTGTTTGAAATATGATTAAGACAATACATTTACACATAATTCTTTTTCACAAGAACCACTTTGAATTAAATGTATTTTATTGATACATCAATATAATAAAGCAGGGCCAGCTTGTTTTTAAAAAATTCTCCTCTTCTTTTATTAAAGTCATGAATTCTAAGATATATGACTTTCTTGTAAATAAAAAGCTTATTGCTATAATTTTTCTATTAATAGCTGCTTAATTTATGTTATCATCTTACTTAAAATAGTCTTATACAGACATGTGATGCCTCTTGTTCACTTGATTAATTGCATTTGTTGTAACAAAAAAATTAAACCAAGATAGNAGATCATTACTTAGTATATTTTGAATTGAATAACACAATTTATTATTATCAATAATAATTTTGTATCATTGTGATTATGAACTTAAAATATATTAATTTCAGGGCTGAAAACATAATTATATATAAAATCTATGTATATTCTACAACTAACTAAACTAATTAAAATAATAAGAGTTTTGTAATTCGGAACATTATTGTTTGCTCCAAACAATTAAAATAGTTTGATGCATTTTGGCTACAGCTACACAATACAAGAAAGAAACTTTATGAAAATTTCATTGATGTTTAGATACTCCTGAATGAATACAACTAAAACAAAAATGATTAGCATGAAAAAAAAAGAAAAGCAGAAAAAATATAAATTTAACAAAATTATAAGAATAAATTCAATAATCTCTAATTCAATAAGGAGGATTATTTGCGGGTATCAGAAATAAAAAATAAGGAGATATTGTAGTATTATCGTTACAGTCATATCTACTACCATCTTAATAGGTCACTATGCTGCACTGTTAATGTATTTTGGGAACTAACAATGTTTGACTTATTAAGTATCTTCCAACAATGGTCAACAAAAGACCAAATAAAAATACAGATTGAGCTCAGGCGGTCTATGTTTTCAACAGGCTAATCTCCTGGAGAAGGAGGAAAATATATTGGAGAGCTAAATAAGGAACAAAGGAAGTCTAAAAGAGTAAAATTAAAAAAAGGAAAATTCACATCAATTATTAACTTAAGAGGCTCAAAGGAATTAATAAAATTATATATTCTTTTTATTATTTTTACTCAACTATTAGAAGATAGAAGAAATCTTAATTATGATTATTAACAGAATTAATTCTGTAAACTATCGCTCAAATCATGTTAATTTGATTTTAGAGGATAATTAACCACCTTTTTACTATAGATTAAACCATTTAAATTTACCCGATTGGAACACCTCTTATAACATGATCTATAATTTAACAAAAACTTGAAGTGTATTGCATCTATTTCAGTTTTAAAAAAATTAATTTCTTAATACACAAATTTTAGATGAATCAATTTTGTCTTAAATAATTGATTTTTGCAGCAGATAAAGCTAATGAGAAATTTAGTAGATTTATTTGGATCAAAACTGAATATTATTAGACACAATATTTAAGAGTTTGCTGTTTGAAATATGATTAAGACAATACATTTACACATAATTCTTTTTCACAAGAACCACTTTGAATTAAATGTATTTTATTGATACATCAATATAATAAAGCAGGGCCAGCTTGTTTTTAAAAAATTCTCCTCTTCTTTTATTAAAGTCATGAATTCTAAGATATATGACTTTCTTGTAAATAAAAAGCTTATTGCTATAATTTTTCTATTAATAGCTGCTTAATTTATGTTATCATCTTACTTAAAATAGTCTTATACAGACATGTGATGCCTCTTGTTCACTTGATTAATTGCATTTGTTGTAACAAAAAAATTAAACCAAGATAGGCAATTAAAAAGCCATATATTTCTCTTACTTTGTCAATACGTCCTTATTACTAAATGTCTACAAGAAAGCGAATTATAGTTCCTCTCTTCCATTATCCTCCTAATGGTATTTTGGTATATAATGGACTTAAATTTATTCACCTTAGCAAGCGATTCTTGTTGGGATCTCTTGTGAGCTGTTGGTCTGAATAGTTTATCAATGAGCTATTTGAGGTCGATTTAGACTGATTGAGAGTCAGTTTATGGGCTATCCGGAGCAATATAGTCAAAGTGAGGCTAAATGTTTCGATGAACTATAATTGAGTTAGTATCTCAAAGGGAGGATCCTATTTAGGATCTTGAGCTGGTTCCTTATGAAACTTGTTTTATCCTTTGCCGATTTTCTATTTTTAATGATGCCCGATTAAGGAGAGATCAATGCTCCAAGATATAAAGTTTTTAACTTCACTATGCTCATATTTTCAGTTTGAAAAGTTTGAAAAACATGCTTATTTGTAGTTACTATGAAAAAAGGCTCAAATTAAATTAAGAAAACAAATAAATGCTATAACTATATGTTAATCCTCTAAAAAATGGCATAAATATCTTTCCTGATCCAAGTCTTAATCCTCATAGTTTCGATTAACCCTGTTAAATCAGTATCCACAAAATTAAATAAAAAAAAAGTAACTAAGAATCTGGAAAATATAATACTGTCTTTGCCCTCATGCTATGTATCACATCCTAGCCATTCTACAATTTGTTTGTTAAGGCAATATTTAGAAGATCAGGCACAAGATAACTGTATTAAGTGAAAAATTATTTTCTTAAAATAAACTCTTGTTTAAACTGTTAGCTTAGTTTAAGAAGAACTTCAATGAAATTCTTTAAATTCTCAATCATATTCTTTAAATTCTCAATCAAATTAGATAAATATAATTTAAGTTCTCTTGAATTACTTAATATAATCTCCTCCAAATTTATCATTCTTCCAACACAAAGTGATCGACATTATATTTCCCTTCACAGACACTAGGTTTAAAGGTCCAAATCTATCACGATTTTAGATGATGCTCCAAGTACATAACTAGTCAATACTACATAAATGGATTATAGTATGAATAGCTAGAAAATAGTTAAGTNGTCTTATACAGACATGTGATGCCTCTTGTTCACTTGATTAATTGCATTTGTTGTAACAAAAAAATTAAACCAAGATAGGCAATTAAAAAGCCATATATTTCTCTTACTTTGTCAATACGTCCTTATTACTAAATGTCTACAAGAAAGCGAATTATAGTTCCTCTCTTCCATTATCCTCCTAATGGTATTTTGGTATATAATGGACTTAAATTTATTCACCTTAGCAAGCGATTCTTGTTGGGATCTCTTGTGAGCTGTTGGTCTGAATAGTTTATCAATGAGCTATTTGAGGTCGATTTAGACTGATTGAGAGTCAGTTTATGGGCTATCCGGAGCAATATAGTCAAAGTGAGGCTAAATGTTTCGATGAACTATAATTGAGTTAGTATCTCAAAGGGAGGATCCTATTTAGGATCTTGAGCTGGTTCCTTATGAAACTTGTTTTATCCTTTGCCGATTTTCTATTTTTAATGATGCCCGATTAAGGAGAGATCAATGCTCCAAGATATAAAGTTTTTAACTTCACTATGCTCATATTTTCAGTTTGAAAAGTTTGAAAAACATGCTTATTTGTAGTTACTATGAAAAAAGGCTCAAATTAAATTAAGAAAACAAATAAATGCTATAACTATATGTTAATCCTCTAAAAAATGGCATAAATATCTTTCCTGATCCAAGTCTTAATCCTCATAGTTTCGATTAACCCTGTTAAATCAGTATCCACAAAATTAAATAAAAAAAAAGTAACTAAGAATCTGGAAAATATAATACTGTCTTTGCCCTCATGCTATGTATCACATCCTAGCCATTCTACAATTTGTTTGTTAAGGCAATATTTAGAAGATCAGGCACAAGATAACTGTATT